TCTAGTCTGTTCTGCATAAAGTACTATTTTTAAACAATACTTTAAATTATTTCATATGAAATTAAAATATTTTATCTTTGAATAGGACAAAGATAGTGGATTCATAGAAAAACAGAGCAGATCTTGGTTGTGTTTCTAACAGGATTTCAGAATATAAACTACCAACCTGGTAATTTCTGAAAACAACACCTTAGACTTGATCCTTCTATTTATGAGAGCCTCAAATGTTTTTGTATTCATTGTTAGGCCTCTTATTTCTTCTTTCTAATACTCTACTTTGTTCATTATTTTACTATTGCATGATACACATTTTAATGGAATAAATAAAGTTTGAAGAAACTTAGGTGGCTAGTTAAAAACTCTGGAAATGATCTAGGCTTCAAATCTCCAACTTTCTTGTTGCATGGTGTGTTTGGATGCATGACAACTCTATTCTTCTTTTTGAGCGACTTTATTGATTTTGTAAAGGTGATACATGCTTCTTATTAAAAAAAAATCAAGCAATACAGAAAAGTACAAAGTAAAATCCCAAAATTCCATTACCTAGAAATAACCATTATTAACATCATTCTACGAAGTCTCACTTTGAATATATATAGGTAGGGACAAATTTACAAAAAAGGCTCATAATACATACCATACACACACTGTTACTTAAATTTAACATAAGAAATTGAAGCTGAAGCAAAATGAAGGAATTACTAAACTTTAGTTATATATTCTTTTGTAAGATATATTAGTTCCTAAAAATCCTTTTAAAGTCTTGTAAAAAGATTATGAAAAGCATTAAGAGGCTGTAGGTTCTACATGGTTAACCCTTAAAAAGTAACTGAGACATGCAGGATCTACTTTAATTGTTTAGAAGCAGCTTTTATTTAGATATCAGACCTGCCTGATGGTCAGAAGTAAAGTATATTACTAGGTGTGTCTATATTAGTTGTAAGGGATCCTAGAGGACCTTGAATTCAATGCCTTATTCCTATTCCATTTTCTGCTGTGTATGGTGAAGGCACAGTTCAGAGTACAAGCTTTGGGGTTAGACTGTCTAGATTTGATACCTGCTCTGTCATTTAGGAAACGTGACCATAGGCCTCAGTTTCATCTTCTGCAAAAAATGGGTTAATAGTATCTTCCTTATGTGGTTGTTGATATGAATAAGTGAGACAATACATGGAAGGCTCTTATGATAGTTCCTGAAATATAGTAAGTGCTCAATAAATATAAGCTATTATTATTATAAAGGAATAATGGTGAGTGTCTGAGCCAACGTATGACATTGAAAATTGTCATTCATAAAATAATCTCACTCTCATTCATCTCAGAATAATTCCCCTACTAAATCTGCCTTTAAAGTTAAAGGCTGGGGCCCTGAGGACTTACCTAAGGGGCATGTGGGTGCAGGAGTACTGGATGTGGGAACAGGCTCCTGTCTGAGACTGTCACCTATGTTTATAAGAATGGACGGAACACACAATTCTAGCCTTTTCACAATCTTAAACATATATTATACATTACCTATAACAATAATCACTACTATGCATGTCAGTTACATGGACATACACAAAGAACTTTATATCTGTACTTAAAAATTCTCTCTAAAAGTAAACTAATATTAGTATTTCTAAATTCCCAGTAGGCAATTCACATTGTCTCATACAACATAGGGAATATAGGCAATATTTTATAATAACTATTTTTTTTGAAAGTTTTTTTTTAAAATTTAATTTTATTTATTTTTGGCTGCGTTGGGTCCTCCTTGCTGCGCACAAGCTTTCTCTAGTTGCGACGAGCGGGGGCTACTCTTGGTTGCGGTGTGCAGGCTTCTCACTGTGGTGGCTTCTCTTGTTGGGGAGCCCGGGCTCCAGGGTCATGGGCTTCAGTAGTTGTGGCATGTGGGCTTAGTTGCTCTGCGGCATGTGGGATCTTCCTGGACCAGGGCTTGAACCTGTGTTCCCTGCACTGGCAGGCGGATTCTTAACCACTGTGCCACCAGGGAAGTTCTATAATAACTTTAAGTGGAATATAATCTATAAAAATATTGAATCATTACGCTGTACGTCTAAAATTAATATTGTAAATCAACTATACTTCAATGAAAAAAATTCATATTGAGTCTGCTTTAAAATATTATGAATTCCATGTTTTTGGCATTCTAAGTTAAAAGTAGTCCAATGTTTTCAGTTTACTTATTAGTATGTAAGTTTTAAAAATTTAAAATAAAATGCCTTATAAAAACAAGGTAAATTTCACCCCACCCCCCATATTATTTCACTATGATTGGTTCCTGGATTTGAACTTCAAGGGAGTTGATGACTTTTCTGAAAGATGTTCTGAAGTCCAGTGTACTCTTTCTATTTTCTTTTCTGGCTATTAACATATCTATTTTCTTTGATAATAAAACACTATTCAGGTTCCCCATGAAGATATGCATTTACTTTTGTTACAAACCATCTTTTCAGCCCCAGCTGATTTTTTATCCTTTTTTTTTGGCTATTCCATGAGGCTTGTGGGATCTTAGTTCCCCAACCAGGGATCAAACCCAGCCCTTGGTAGTGAAAGCATGGAGTCCTAACCACTGGACCACCAGGGAATTCCCATCCAGCTGATTTTTTAAAATAACCTGTCTCCAAAAAGAACTTTAAAAGTGCTTTTTGTGATGTAGTTTTTTCCAAGTTTGGTTTAAACCGCACATTGGATTTGTTTTGTTTTGTGGGAGAGGGAGGGTTGATGAAAAATTCTAGCTGCTTCTCTGAGCTGAGACTAAACTGTAGGTTGTTTTTTTGTTTTTTTTAAGCTCAGGAATTTAGGGATACACATCACTACCAAATAATAGAATATATGCCAATTTTCCATTTTTGCTTTGCCTTTCTGCCTAGTGAGTACTTTGGCTTATTTTGTAAATCAGTAAACCATAAATTCTAGCTTAAACAGTTCACTTGATATCTAGTTTGGGTGTGAAAGAGGGTGATTTGATAATTTTAAATGATGGTTTAATTTCTCCAACAATGAGGGCAACATGGGGTAAAGAATAAGTTGCATTTGTGTGATTGTGGATTTTAATACTGACTTGATTTATGTTGGGTTAATTAAATAATTTTCTGTGCTTTCAAGTCTTCCACTAAAAACTAGGTACAGTGTGGATGAACTACTTAGTTTTACTCTGTGTAAAGGAACGGTTAAAAAATAGTCAAACAGTAAGAAATTACAAACGTGTTTAACACAAATATGAACACAAAATGTAGGAACCATATGCTATAGTCATCTCTCTCTTCCTTTCAGAGTGGCTCACAGTACACAACTGTAGCAAAATCAGTAAGTGTTGAATTGATGATATTACCTCAATACTCAGCATTCCTACCTCAACAGCCTTCTAACAGTATGAAATCAGTAGATTTCTTTATAATGATTTCTAAGAGATGGTCTAAATTCTTCAGTTGTACTGAAATGTGTCAAATATTGCTTTTAATAAGTAAACCACTGGCTGGGGTTTGGAAATCTTTTTCTACACAAAGCCTTTGTTGTACCTTTTTTTTTTCTTCCTTTTGTAGGGTATTTTTTGTAAAAGGATTTGACCTGTAACTATTATTGAGAATTTTCTTAGAGGAGTTCAAAGCATTTTACAGGGATCATCTCATTTATCCCTCGAAAGTAAGGCAGAGGCATTATCTCCACTACAGACTGAGAACGCTAAAAGGCCAAGATAGGTGGGGTTTTTTGTTGTTGTTTTGCTAAGATCAAAAAGTAATTCTAGGGCAAAGCCAGATTCCGGTCTGACCTTGTTACATGATGCTTCTGCAGTGACATAATGCAATGTCGTTGCTCTCCTAAGTCTCTCCTTGCCTATGCTAGGTGTTGAATAATTTCCAGAGTCTATTTCTCATTCATTCTTGCTTCTGAAAATGGATCTTAAGATGTAAATACAAAAGAAAACCCTCAAATCCTTACTATTAGGATTTGGGGTACAGGATACAGACAGGGATAGGCATATTCCTCCCCCACTTCCCAATCTTACTCCCTCCCCCAATGCTGTTCAGTAGAAAAAATAATGTGGGCCACAAATTCAAGTCACATGTATAATTTTAACCTTTCTAGCAGTTACATTAAAGTATATTTAGGCCAATGTAGCAAAAATCTTATCACTTCAACATGTAATTAATATAAAACTATTAATAAGATAGTTCACATTCTTTTTCTTTTATAAGTCTTCAAAATCTGGTGGGTTTTTCACACTTACAGCACACCTCGATTTGGACTAGTCACATTTCCAATGCCCCAAAGCCACGTGTGACTAGAGGGGCCTGTGCAGGACAGCATGTCTAGACTTCAGTAGATTCTTCTAAGCTCTAGCTTCAAATTGGTGGCCTTGTGAATGCAATGGATGGTGTGGGAAAGGACTCCTGGATGACCTTGGAGAATCCACTTGCCCTTGCGTGGTGACTAATAGCTTTACCACTTGCTGATACATGACTGGGGAGTTATGGATTCAGGATCTAGAGGACTGCAACCTCCCAAAACGTCTAAAATGCCAGCTCATTGATAGGACTGTGGTTTACACCCCGTGTGAGAACCCGGCCTACTTCTAGGGATGCAGTTCGTGGGGCCCTGGTACGTGGCCTGTGGAAAGGAGGCATCAGCCGAAGTAGAGGAGGGCTACCGGAGGGGGAAGGCCATCCAAGTGTGTGCTTCTTGAGGGCAGCGGCTAGAACCAAGCGCTTCTTGAATGTGGAAGCTCCTCTTGCCGCCTTAGCCAGGTCCTCGGCAGGCCTTGCATGCTAGATGAACGCAAGCTGCGCTTCCTGCACACGCTCCGGGCGGCCCGGGGCATGGGAGGGGGCATATCCCCGGTCTCGGCCCGCACCCCGAAGCCGCTCCACGGCCTCGGGTGTGAGGGGCGGGCCCACGCCTCGGCCCGCGCCGCCCCATGTGACCCGGTCCGACATGGTGTCGCCTCCTCCTGGGGCGGCGGCGGCGGCGGCGGCGGCGGTGGCGGTGGCGGCGGTGGCAGCGGCGGCTCGGGCTTGGCTCCGCGTCGGGCCGGCTCCGCGGCCGCTCATGGGCAGCCAGGGCGGCTTAGGGCCCCCCGGGAACGGCGGGCCTGGCGAGGGCGAGAGCGGGGAGACGAGGAAACTGCAGGAAGGGAGAGCCGCGAGGGGAAAGCGGAGGAAAGGGAAGGGGAAGGGGAAAGCAGGCGCAGGGCAAGGCGGAAGAGGAAGCGGGGCGGAAGGGAAGACGCAGCCGCCACAGGCGAAGGAGGCAGCGGGGCTGGGGGCCGAGGCGGGAGAGAGGGCAGGCCTGCGAAAGGTAGGAGAGGGAGGCGGAAGCGTAGAGGATGGGGCGAGAAGGATCGTCAGGGGAGATGAGGGGAGCGCAGGGGCGCGGAAGGAGGCCAAAGGAAGATATGATGGGAAGAAGGAGGAGTGGAGGGTCAGAACTGGACAGCGGGAGGACGCCAGGCCGGCGAGAGCACAGGGACGAGGGTGTCAGGCTTGGGGCCGCCTCGCTGGGACAGGGGCGGCCATGGCGGCGGCGGCTGAGGAAGAGGCGGGGGCCCGGGAGCCTGCCGGCCGCCCCGCCGCGGGGCCCGCGCTCCTGCGCCTGCCGGAGGAGCTGCTGCTGCTCATCTGTTCCTACCTGGACATGCAGGCCCTCGGCCGCCTGGCTCAGGTGTGCCGCTGGCTGCGGCGCTTCACCAACTGCGACCTGCTCTGGCGCCGGATAGCCCGGGCCTCGCTCAACTCCGGCTTCACGCGTCTCGGCACCGACCTGTAAGCGCCCGCTCGCCCACCCGCTCCCCGCCCCGGGCCGGCCCTCGTCCCGGGAAAGGGCGGGGCGCCGCGGCCTGGTCGGCCTGGGGCTGTGTCGCACCCCGAATTCTGAGGCCCGGACCCGGCCTCCGCCGATCCCTCCCCGAGCACCCTGCTCCTCTCAGAGGACCCCATCCGAGGAGGCCTTCCATCAGCATCCCTCAGTCAGCACCCTCCCCGTGGGCGGCTCCTCACAATTAGCCATCTTAAGCACTCCCGTCAGCTTTTAACTGTGTCTTTTCGCAGACGTTGACCGCCTGGGTTCCTCAGCTCCAGAGGAGCCCGGCTCGTCTGTGGCTTTAGAGGCCTCCACCCGTCCAGGTGTAGGACCCATATCCACTATGTGGCCTTTCAGGACGTTTTTGTGGACATTCACCCTCTCACCCCTTTCCAAGGGTTGTTAGGCTTCAGAGCGTGGATAAAATCGAATATGGAGGAAAGGGTTCACACCCCAAAAGAAGGCCCTTGGTCCAAGTGTCAACCATAGTTTACGACTTGATGGAGGCAGAATGACACAAAAAAGGGTGCCTGCTTATGGCAGGGGGTTGGATGAGTACAGTATAGACTGTACACGAAGGCCTGGTATTGTAATTTGGCCTGTGCTTGGTAGGATCTGAGACCTGTGAATGAAAAACTTAACCATGTAAGCAGTTAATAGGGAGGGGAAAAAAAATGTGGAATTGGAGGAGTAAAAGCTTTCAGATTGCACCCAACTCCATCCAATTTGGGTTAAAAAAGAAAAAAGGTAGTTCTAATACAGTATAGCAACATTAAAGAAAGTTGGTTTAAAACATAAAAAGCTATAATACCACCACCTCTAGATAACTATTCAGTTTTAAAAATTACTTTTCATCTGCACACTTTTTCCTCCTCTTAGTTACTATCCTACTGATCCTAACAGAATAGGTACATAATAAATGTTTGTGGGCTGTACCATGAGATTAAAAACATTCCTCTAATATTAGACTTTCAGGTTGTATGCAGCTTTTTGCTATCAAAGATAACAAGGAAATGAATAATTTAATGCACTTTTTGGTAACATCTTTATTGAGATATGTCACATACTGTATAATACATATGTCTTTTTGAATTGGTTCCTTAGGATAAATTCTCAATATTGGCATTACTGGATCAAAGGTTATGGTTTGTAAAAAGGTGTTGTACCAAGTTACAGTGACAATAGCAACAAATTATTAAGCTAATTTCATGTAAGAATTTAAAAAATCTTTGCTGTGTTAGTGGACATATAATGGTATCTCAAAATTTTGTTATTTTGCATTCCTTTACCACTGACCAGCATAAATATTTTCCCCTGTGTTTGTTTCACCCGTGAGATTGTCTTTTCCTAGCCTTTGCACATTTATTATTGAGGTCCTGAAGTTACCGTTATAAAGGATTCCAGTCCTTGTGGGTCATAGATATTAGGCTCTAGTATGTCATCTTTGATGCAAATATTATATTTTCCCCAGTTTGTTCTTTTTACTTCACTGTTTTTAGCCTATAGAAGTTTTACATTTAAATATATCAGAATCTGTCAGTTTTTATGTGATTTTTAAATCTCCCCCACCCCTGCAAACTGAGAAATTTATGATTTCTCCACAGACCTGATAAGTCTTCTCTGATATTCTGTTGGTCTTCCTAAAATTTGATTTTTAAAAATAGTTAACACTTTGATTAATATCACTTTTGTTTTGGTATAAGGGGTGAGTTCAACCTTCTTTTTTTCTAAACAGCTACCTAGTTACCACTACACTTTTTGTTAAATAATTCTTGTCTTTCCCTTTAGAAAGACAAAAAACTTTTGTTTTAGAAAGCTTACTTTGCCAGATATTAAGTTTATATATCTATGTGTATATACAGTCACACATACATACATATTATATATGTATATATATTGGGTCTATATCTGAACTCTCCATTTTGTTCCACTGATGTATTTTTCCATTTCCATTCTATTTTAAATATTGCTGCCTTTTGACAGTCTAATATCTGTTAGGTTTAGATTATCCTTGTTGGATTTGTATGTGTGTGACGTCTTCACTCTCACTCAACACCCCAGCAAAAAAAAATTCTGTGCGTTTTCAAAAGTTTCTGTGGTTTTCACTATAAAGTTTCTACATGTCTGTTGTTACACTTATTCCTAAGTATTCCTAAATATGCTATTCATTTTGTTTTTATTGTGAAATGCGATCTCTTTTTCAGTATGTTTTTCAGCTGCGTATTATTAATGATGTCCAGGATTGCTACAATCTTTTGGAAATTTTGAACCTGATAATTTTGTTTAACTTTTATTATTTCTAGTATGATTTTGTTGTTGATGATAATGATTCTTTGGGATTTGGGGGGCATGCAGGTCTTATTACTTTCGTTTTTTGTAAGAAAAACTCTTTCAAAGAACATGTCAGTTTACCTAGAAGAGAAGTTGTCTAAAATGCCCGAAACCCAAGTCAGCCATGGCAAAATTTGGTTTTCTTGTTTATAGAGATTGAATGAACAAATGAAAGAATTTATGTTTATTTTTCTTTCCTTTTCAAATGCTCTAAGAGATAATGTGAATGAGTGTGCATTCTGTAAGCAATAATAACAAAATGAAAATCAGTTTATAGTATAAAGTGCTTTGAGACTGCCAGATGATTTGGCTTTATTATTTATTAGCCATGTGTGTTTTGATTTCTTGCCTATGTCCTAGGATGTGGTATCTCCAACTTTCTAGGGAAGTTGTTTTACCACAGCACTTGATAAAGAGCAGGGTCACTGCTCGTATTTTCTGAGTTGAGGGGAAAAGCTATGCGTGTTACAGCAGGTGGAGAGAATCTTTACCAGTGTGGTCTGTTTTGGGACAGCTGCAGAGATGTGATAAGCCACCAAGAGAGGTGGTTGTCATCCCTGGAGGGAGATGGCATGTACCTCAGCCCTCTTAGGGCATCAGGGAGCTTGGGCCCAAAGTTCAATGAAGGTATGGCTGGTTGGATAGTGGCAGGGCTGTAGTTCATATTTTGGGCTAATTAACTGCACACTGGACAGTAGGATAAGTTTTTATAAGCACAACACAAAACTGCATTTTATCAGAAGCCACACAACTTCACTGCCCCGGAGTTTTATCATCTATAAACAATGGGAATAACATATCCAGTAAAATGAGACTTAAGTGTTGTGATGTGTAAGTGATAGCACAGTATTCAGCACATAGTAGGCACTCAATAAATTGGTGTAAAATGGAACGTTTTAATTGCTTGTCTTCTCCTCTAGTCAGTCTATATAGCAAAAGTGAAGATGGTTTGACTTGGAGATGCTGCCTAAAGACAGGAGGTGGGGAAAACACACACACACACACACACACACACACACACTGCTTAGTTTCCCTCACCTGTCCTGAATGTTTTTGGCAACATGACAGCAGAACCTGTGAGCTTTAGGGTCTGTACTCCCTGCCGAAGAGCCTCATGAATTCTCGGAAAACACAAAGTAAGATTTACTGACCTTCCGGCCCAGGGCAAGTCCCATTCAGTTTGGCTGTTCCTAACTGATCATAGCTTTGTTGAGTAAGATGAACTGCTTTGGTTCCTTGTGATTTGTTAATGGTCTATACTTGTGCTTGAAGGCATTTTGGCCACTTTAAAACCACAAACAAATAATTTGCTTCCCTTTAGGCCTCCTGCCCAAACAGTGAGCACTGGTAGGTATCCTGAACTTCTTTTTTAAGTGGACACAAAGACAGCTTGAGTCAGTCATCTGGTTTAAAATCAGTCTTATTTGAAAGTTTTATGAAGCCTGGGGGAATAGAAATATCTTTAATATAAAAATCAAGGAAATGTTTCATATAGCAATCTTTTAAGTTTTTCCTGAACAGTAGGGGCAAAACTAAGCTAGTTCAGTCTTCAAGAACAAAACAGTGAAATTTAACTCCGTCAGTTTATAATGTAGGCTAAATGCAAGAAGTTAGAAAGTATGAGAGGTGGAAGAGCAAAGGTGCTATTTGTAAATTCTGATACTGTAAAATTAACAAGAGCAAAGAATGGAAAGAAAAAAGTATATCCATGTATGTAAATCTATTTTTAAAAATACTTTTGCAGTACTTCTCCTAAATTAAGTCCTGTATGTTTTCAAACTTGAATTTTATTTTAAATATCCTTTGAGCATTACCTGGGTGCTCTCTTGCATTTGCCTGTGATAGATTTGCCTAGAATTAACAATAGGTGTTTAGGGAGTCAGGCTCTGAGGTGTTTGCCCTGGCATGTACATTCATTCCTCAGCCAGGGTCTAGTAGGCTTGGAGCTCTTTGAGGCCAGGGGAATGGGGTATCTATTTCAGTGATGATTAACGTCCAGAGTGGTGAGATGGACACAGATAAGCAGAGTGTGTTTGTTTGTTTTAAAATGATTGCACCTAAGAGCATTTTTTTGACCCAGAAAGCATAAAGTTTCCTAACTCTGAACAGAGAAGGCATTGCTCACTGGTTACTTTTAGGGCCTAAACAGTGATTTTCAGAAAACAATTAGCAACTTAAAGTAGCTTTGGCTCTCTCCTTCACCTTTCTGCCTTACCTAGGAAGCAGTCACTTACTTGTTCTCTGGTTCATTGAAAGGTTTCTTATATGGATGTATTTATCTTCAACTGTTTTGGAAAGACCTTATTTTTAATGGTTTTGTGAGTTAATAAAAGTGAGTTCAGTTTACATGTTTAAAATAAATGAAACAATACACCTGTGGAAGCAGGAAATGGTCTAGTACAGTCAGTACCTCCAAATGCAAACTGGAGGAATGCAAGAGGCCTTTTCCTCCAAGACTGTGAGAATATGGAAGCAGCTTATATCCTTTCCAGTCTTGTAAAACTTGAATAGTAGGGGATGAATTTCCTAGCTTTCAAGGCAGAATCATGGAGAAATCCAAAGTCCTCATAATCTACAAGATAAACAATTTATTTTGAATGAAATCTCTGAAAATACTTCAATCCTCTCAGTT